CTATGTTATACTATTTCTATTCTTGTAAAGTTCACTAAAATCTCAGTATTTATTATCATAATGTTTTCTTTATTATCCTCTACTAACTACTACTTAGGACTGACAGAACTCCTCCAACTTCCAATTCAGATAGCCTAGTGTGATATACTTATGTATTTTTTTTTTTTTAGTGATTCTGGTAGCCTGCTTGGTTATATGCTTCTTTACATATCTTGTTATCCAGTTTATCTGCCTATCTCTTTGGAAGTATTTCTTAGACTTCTATCAATTTAACTATATTGTCAAAAAGTTTATACTATCTCTTTTACTTAAGAATTTCTAAGTAGGTTTCTGACTCTTCAGTTCTTTAGTTTACTGTATCTGGTAGTCTTATTATAGGTTTGCACTGAAGTTTTATACAACACCAGTTATACATTTCTCTATATATATGTAATGTTACATTTTGCATAGATGCTCTAAGCTTACATTTGAGATAGTGTAACTTAAAGTTACAGATACACCAATCTAATCAATTGTTAAGAGACAGTTTGTTATAACACAGGTATAATTTTTTAAATTTCATTATAGATGGGATTTGAATATTAGATCTGTTACTTGAAAGATAACAACCCAACTACTACATTATGATTACTATCCTTTATCAACCAATTAATTAAATTTGACTTTTTCATATTATTGATATGTTTTAGAATCAGTTTCTTTACTTAATATATTTGTTTATAGCTAATAGCTTTAAACAATTGATAAGTTCTAGTTCAAGTTTAATTTTACTTGCTTTTATAGACTTGTTATGATTTAGTTTGTCTACTAATAGGGCTTCTAAATAATAGCTATAAGCTAAACAGTATATTTGGTTATAGTTAAAGAAGCAGACAACTAACTAGTATGCATTAGTAATCTTAATATAGCAATTTTTCTATGTTGATATAATAATCATTGGTACTGTTACAGAGAAAATCTAACTTGGTGCATTGTTAAGCAAATCTATTTTTATTTTTATTAATAGATTATTATTATGGGTTGTTGACAACATATATAAGATTTTTATATTAAGAATAAGAATAGTACTATTGGTTTTTGCAAATAATAGTATCTAAATATTGTACTTGTTTACAAAGGTTTTGTAATTTAAGAGCTTTGTAATAAATTTGTAAAATAATCTATATTGATAAGTTCTGTAGTAGATTTATTGTTATTAAAATTATTAAAAGTTTATTTAAAAAGTATAAAAAAATTAATGTTAAAGGAAAGCATTTTTTGACTTTTTTATATTTTTTAAAATTCTTTTTATGCTCTTATGCCTAGCAATCTTTGATACAGTAATTTGTAATTCATTTAACTTATGTTGTTTTTTATTAATTTTGTTTAATCTATGCTGTTTTATATTTAATAATGGCTAAATTTGTTTAACACATACTTTTTTTTTGTGTTCTATTTAAGATTATATTGTTTACAATATATGTTAAACAATTCTTTGTTCTAAAATTTGAGCAAAATTTGTATAGCCACATGTCTAGTCTATTTTATTTTTATAATTATAATGTTCTTTGTATTTTCTTTCCTTTAAAAAATAAAGTTTCTGAACTTTATTTACTAATTTTTTAAAATTAGCAATTTTGTTTTAGTTGGTTCATTTATTTTTAAATTTAGTAATCATATAGTTTTTGTTATGATTGTTCTTTGTTTATCAATAAAATTTTAATTTTCTGTTGTATCTGTTTTTGTTATTTATTTTGTCTAATTTTTTTTGTATTTTGGTCTACAAAACTTTTTATCTTCTTTTTTTTTCTACTAGTTTTTTTGTTAAAAAATCTTTCTTATTAATAAACTTGTTTTTTTATCTGTTATTTTTCACTAATATATATATACTTTTTGGGCTGTGAACTTGTTCTGCCTAATATTAAAGCATTTTAGAATAAGGCTAATCATTTATTTATGTAAACTAGACAGATAATCTGTTTTGATCTCAATAGACAATTTTTTTTTTGTTAGTTTCTTTTCTTTTTTTGCAGTTAAATGATAGCTAATGCTTAACTGTTTTCAATATTTTTCTTTTTATCATTTTAAGTATATTATTTAGAATATATATTTTAACTTTTTGCTTTATAAATGTCTTGCTAAAGCAAAAATCAAGCAATTTCTGTCTATTTATCTTTTCTTCAAAATTATATTGCAAATTTGAAGATTAAAGCAAATGAAAAAGCTCTACTAAATTTTGAAATAATCTAACAAGAATAACAATAAAATACTATTCATAAGCAGGTAGTTATAAAAAGAAATTTGCTACAAGTTTGAATTGCAAATTAGAAGATAAGGTTTAGGAGTTGCAAAAAAGGTCGAGAGAAAAAAAGAGCCAAAGTATTTTTGTAATATTTTGTAAATAATAATAATAGTAATACAATCAAACCTCTCTATAATTATACTCTTGGTTTAAAAAATTTGATGCTTATAAAAAGTTTGTACTTATATAGAGATTAAATTTTATAAGTATTATATAAGTTGGTTTTAAAAATTTATATAATTATAAGCAAATGTAATTATAAAGAAGGTGGCTATAGAGAGGTCTGACTGTATTATAAATTTTTATATTAAATATAATTAGTTTTTTTTTTTAATTTTTGTATTAAGTTTATATAATTAATAATTAATAAAATAATAAGTAATAAGTAAAAAAATAATGTTTATAAAGTAATAATAAAATATTAGATTTTATAGTACACAGTTTCAATAACAATTTGTAGTTTTCAGTTTTGTCATTTATAATATTGTTTTAAAAGATTATTATTGTAGTATCTTTGTAAAATTTATTACTTGTTGTTGCAAAGTTGATAAGCATCATTTTCTAATTTAGTATAAATAGTAAATACATATTAGCAGATTTACAGAATTGGTCCTAAATTGATCCTAAATTGTATCTTCAAAGTTATTCTCAAAATGAATACCAAATTTTGTAATAAACAATATACGATTAATATATGTATATACATATAAAATAATTTAAAAAGTAAATAGATATATTCATATAATTATACATATATAGTATTTATATAATATTGAATTGTTATCTCTTAATTTATTAACAAAAAGGTCATACATATCAAACTAAAATTATATTTATAATTGACTTAATTATTAATTATATGTGATTTAATTATATAAAATTTATATGATTGAAGTTACTTTTTTTTTTTAATATCACATTTTTATCTATCGTATTTCATGAATTATTCAAAATTGCAATGATATAAATCATGATGCAGTCATATTTATATTTTGTATTGGATTAGACATGACCAAGGCAGCCATCAATTTTACAAGTCATATGAGTAATACTAATTGTAGCAACAAATCAGTATTTGCTATTACTATAATTTTGACTTTGTACATATCAATATTGTATATTGCGTATTTTGAATATTTGTGACACTACTCATATAACCTGCAATTTCCTCTTGTAGCATATTCTCTGCTCTCTTAATTTATACTAAATATATTATTATATCTATTATCTGATAAACATAATTACATAATCATAGTAAAAAAATATTGCATTTTATAATTTCTGACTTAGACTTGAAAAATTAAAAATGCTTATGTTTCATGTTATATAGAAGACCAGTTTATTAAGGTTTTCAGTCTCAAATCATGTGATATCAGCAGTTGAAAATAAAAGATTATGTATTATATTTTTAATTAGCTATTTTAACTATTTATAAGGACTGGTCAGACTGATTAATAATAAGACTAGTTTAAAAGACTGGTTTCTATTTAGTCTTTTCAAAACTGATTTATATTTAATATTACTTATAATATATAATCATAAGATGATCATAAAGGACCTTCACAATTGGATTAGTAGATTTGAATCTGCTGTAGTATGTCTAAAAAAAAAAAGAATCATAGATATTAGAATATTAATAAAATAAGAAAACTATTTATAAACTTGAAATAAGAAATAATTATTCAAATTTATTTATAACATATAATCATGTGATAATTGTAAAGAATTTTTATGATTGGATTAGTAGATTTGAATCTGCTGTAGTATGCTTAAAAAAAAAGAATCATAGATATTGGAATATTAATAAAATAAGAAAACTACCTATAAACTTGAAATAAGAAATAATTATTCAAAATTATCTATAATACATAATTATGTAACAATTGTGAGAACCTTTATGATTGGATTAGTAGATTTGAATCTGCTATAGTATGCCTAAAGAAAAAAGAATCATAAATATTAGAGTATTAATAAAATAAAAAAACTACCTATAAACTTGAAATAAGAAATAATTATTCAAAATAGTGTTTGAAACCAGTTATATATTTTAAAACTGGTTTTTATATATAGTTTAAATCTAACACCGGATATAAATCAGTTTTAATATATTCAGATATAAATCAGTTTTAATACAACTGGTTATAATTTGGATTTAATATAACTGGTTATAATTCAGATTTAATATAACTGGTTATATTTTATATATTAATATACCTATATGCTAATAGAGAAAATTCACAATATCACTTGTAAGGATGTTAATCAGTCTTGCAGTAATTATTAGCCAACTTTGAGCAAGATTTGTAAAGAATTAGCATTTTTAATTAAAATTAGTCCAATAAATAAAGTTATAAAAATGTTATTTCTCTATAACAGTCTCTAATGGGAGTTTATTGGTTTTTGATCAGTCCCATCTAAATTATTCAGAAACTAATGCAAAAACCAATAAAGTTCTATTAGAGACTGTTATAAAGAAATAATTTTTTTATAACTTTAATTATTGGATGAATATTAATTAAAAATGCCAATTTTGTACAAACTTTGTTCAAATTCAGCTGATAATTACTGCAGAACTGATTAACATCCCTAATCGCTTAATCTATATTATTTATTAAATTAATACTTTTAATATCCAGGTTAGGGCTCTGCAAGTGCTGCATACACATTATTAAAACATAGTAACTATCTCTGCACCTGGCACTATGATTTAATAGGGCACATGCTGATAAGCAGAGTTCTAACTCAAATAACTGATCCAAGTTCAGAAGTTCAAAGATTGCAGATACAGATTTTGAAATACCAAAGAATTGATATTAATTACTTCAAGATCAATTGTTCATTAAATTTTGGCATACATTGACTTGTTAGCCACATATATGAACACCAATATCTATAGTTCAATATAATTTTCTAGAAAATTCTGATGAAGCCTACACAGTTGAATTTAAAAATCAGGATTTCTATTTATTTAGGACTAAAATCCAAACCTCATTTTCAATCAAGTGTCAAACTCAGAACGAAGGATGCTGGTGAAATCAAATTAAGATGTGAAATAGGTTTTCCTATTGTGAATTTAACATTAAATTGTAAAATTTTGTAAAATTATTTTTATTAATATATATTACTTAGAATCAATATATTAAATCTGTAATAATAGATATAATATATGTGCATTTATTAATGTAACAAAAATTTTACATAAGTAAATATTAATCTGATCAATTTTTTAGAATTTGAAATGAGAAAGTGACTTAACATTATAAGATAGGTGTCAAATAAACTTTTTTTATAACAAAAACATAAAAATCTTAAATGTACAGACAGATCGTTAAAAGAAATTAAATATAATTATTATAATGATCAAAATTAAAAATTAATTTTTGAGCTACATTGTAACAATTGAATGCCTAAACTAAAAGGACAACAGCACATTTCAAAAAAAAGAAAAAGTAATACTTTTCCTATTTTCATATCAATATATTGGATTCTAAAGATCTTATAATCATGTTTGATCATGATAGTCGATCAGATCATAGGTAAAAAATAAAAAAATTTAAAGTGTCAAATAGCACTATTCGAATGCTATTTGAATAGTATCATTCGAAATATTGAATTTTTCATTTTTTACCAATAGAAGAAAAATTAATGATATGAATGTGTAATATTGATTAGAATGCATGAAAAGTATGTAATAACCATTGAGTTAAAATTATCATTGAAATATAGTGAAATGATGGATTTGTAATTAAATTTTATATATAAGGAAAGTTAGTTCTCTTTCTCTTTCTCTCTTACTTTTTTACTAAAAATAAATATCAATAAAGCTCTTATATACACATTGAGATAGTTTGCTACTAGTTATACAGTATTTGGATCGATAAAAGCTTTGATAATTATGTATAAAAATTTTTTTAAACTACTGCTATTAACTATGTATTAAAAAAAATACATAGAAATCAGATTGAATCCAGAATCTCTTTTATGAATCTGGTTATAATTCGAATTGAGTAAATTCAGATTTGATTCAGATTTGATTCAAATTTACAGCTGTTCTGAAACAAGTGATAAAAATTTGGCCAAAATTAATTCTGCTAAATTCAATAAGTTTTTGATCTCAGTACATAAGCTTTTGATTTCAGTGTTATCAGCACTTACCAAAATCAAAAGCTTATGTACCGAGATCAAAAACTTATCAAATTTGGCAGAATTAATTTTGGCCAAATTTTTATTACTTGTCCCAGAATTTATGAGAACAGCTGTAATCTGAAAAAATTATTGATCAACATGAATTTTGATGCTGAAAGAAAAAATTTGAGTAAATCCTATTTCCTAACCATTAGCATTGACTAATCAGAATCATGGCAGGTAGGTGACTGGCATGCCACCAGTATACTATGACCTGGCATGCCAAAATTTTTAAAGCCTATTGGGCATGCCATTATTAGTAAAATTATATTTAAACTTATTTAAAATAATTTAATTGGCTGAACTAAAGAATATTATGTATAATACTGTAATACATATATAATATAGTTAGGTCTCTAAGTGTACTTCTTTAAAACTATATTAAAGCAATAAAGGTACTTAGAAGGGGTGTGCATTTAAATTATAATTTAAAACTAAGCAGAAATGACTTTAAAGAAGTTTTTCCTAAGTATATATTTAAGAAGAGTGCACTTAGAGAGGTCTAACTATATTTTTTATTAAAATTTATATATTGTGGCATACCAGAAGTGGCATCCAGGCATGAATTTTGGCGAATGACATGCCAAATTTTTTAACCATGCCAGCCACCCTAATGACAGATATATCATGTGTTAATCTAGTAAGGATTATGATTCGAATAATCTCTATTCTCAATCCGAAATATATTATGGATCTATTCATTTAAAATTGATGGATAAGATATTCACATTTAATCTAAATTATCAGATCAATCCAAATTAGTCAAATTGCGAATCAAAGTACTAACATCGAATTAGCTTTTTAAATTTGGCATTTAACTATCTAAAAATATGAGAATTAGTGAAAACTTTGTTTTCACTTATTTATATATCAGAGTATTATCAGTATTTATTAATCAAAAGATTATAATCATTATAATTATAATTATTATACTAATCTTGATTCTGCAACACTAAGGTCAACATCTTGATTTCCTATTTTAGTTACTGGTAGGTGTGCAATTTCATGCTATTAAAATTAAAAAAAGACAAAGCAAGGTTTGCTATATCTTTGATATTAAGCCTTATCTCAATGCATTAATACATATACCTCTTTAATTTAACATATGTTCGATTAATCTATTTATTTTAATCATTATATTTGTATAAAAACATGTATTTTAAAACTCTTAACAACAATGATTTATTATTTTTACTCTCAGCTGTCTTACTTTAATAGATAAAAAATGTGCTCTTTGTTTTATTTAATAAATAAATTTTGATTCTATAATATAATCAAACTAGCATATATATAATTTAATTGCCCAAATATCTTTAAAAAATATTATTGCTATAAAATATTTTAGCTCAGTATTTATCAAATAAACTAGAGATTGTACTCATCAAGAAAATTTCTACTAGGGTATTATTAAAATACCCACCCAAGTACAATCTCTAAAATAAACTTTAAAAATAAAAAAAATATTTTTTAAAATTTTGCAAATATTATGCATCTGATGAGAGAAACATACCATAATGTATACTATTTTTTTTTAAAGACAACATTTGATTTACTAATTCAGAAAATAAATGTGTTCACTTGGAAGAGATATGATTACCAGCATCTAAAAATAAGTGTTCACTTGGCACAGATGTAGCTGAAATAGAAAGATACTTTCGTGCCAATAAAACCAATAATGGAAAAATACTTTTTCTACTATTCCACTAAACAAAAGGATCTTCTTTAGGTTTGGCTTCAGGATATCTAAAATATTGTGATACTTCATCATCATCAGGTTCGATTATAGTATTATTTGTCTCTTCTAAGTTAAAAACTTCAGCAAAAAAATCATCATAATCTAAATTATCATTTTTACTAAAGGAATTTGCATTAGATGTTTGACTTGATCTTGCAATTGTAAATTATCTTTTAAATTTTGATATAATTCATGAAGTTTAAGTTTTGTATTTGTTTGCTAAATGTTTGTTGCAAATTGTAAACTTTTCATTCTAGGATGCAATTAAAGCTATTTCATTTAGAATGCATTACAATTCATCTAAGGACAAATAGATAGCTGCCCGAACTTTATCAAGAAGATCTGAAGTATCAGATGGTAGCAGATATTCAATCTCATTTATATTATTTAACTTAACTAATTTTTTTTGTGATCGTTGACTTTTACTTTTCTCTTTATTTTTTCCTTTATTTTTTTTATTTTGATTTTGACCTTTACTATATTTTTTATGCATAATTTGTTTAAATTGATAGTGAGCAAATTGCTAATGTTAATGTTTACCTGCTGATAATATATTTTCATCTTCACTAACAGAGCTTGAATCATCAGTATTAGATATTTCCTCTATATTAGATTGATTAGATAAATTTTCATTTTACTCACTATAAATTAAAGTTAAATAAGAATCGAATGTTTCATTTTTTTCATATCATGGTCGAAAATTTTTTTTAAGTACTTCTATATATGAATAAACTAAATTAAGTGTAGGATATTTTGCTCTACATATATGACGAGTTATCATTTCAAAAGAACTTAATAAATCAATTATATTTTTAATAAAATTTTTTTTATCTACTGTCAAATATAATCTATCAAGTTTTTCTTCTTCTAATTGAGAAGCACGATCTTTTTTTGAAAATAATATTGTAGAGACTAATCTCATTGCTGTATATAATTCTAAAACCTGTTTCCAAGCAAGATATGTTGAATTTCATCTGGTTTTAGTATCACTTAAAACATTTAATGGATCAAAATTATAATTATCATTTTGATTATCAGATGTAATAGTAATATTATCTTTAATTTGTAATTGTGCTTTATAAAGTCTTTGTGCTTGTTTAGGAAGTTTAAAAAAAGCTTGCAAATTTTTGATTCGGTGATGTACTGCTCTGCATTGTTTTAATCCTTCTTGAACTGTTAGTTGTAAAATATGAGCAGCACATACTATTCTTGTAACTTCAGATAATTGTGATTTAAGCATATCTACTCCTTTAATCATATTAGTAGCATTATCAGTAGTTATTATATATACTAATGAACTTAAATTTCATTTTTGAATAATTAAAAAAAGCTCTGCACTAATAATTTCTCCTAAATAAGGATATGCTAAATTACTACAAGCTAAAAGAACTTCTTTAAAAGTGTAATCTTCAGAAAGCCAAGTATTTGTAACACCAATATAACTATGTTTACTTTTTGCAGTTCAAAGATCTGTAGTTAAGTGAACACAAGTTGCTGTATTTGAAATTAGATCATTAAGTTTATCAACATTCCAGTTATATGCTTGATAAATAAAGCCTTTAGCAGTTTTAGTATATGGAATTCAAAATCCTAGTTCACAAGCATTTACGAATTTATAAAAATTTTCATTTTGTAATATATATAATGGTTCAACAAATTTTATAATAAATTTGATAAAAAGTTGTGAAAGATAAGTTTAACATTAGTTTGTATATAGAGTTGATTTTTTGTAAAAATTAGTTATTTTAGTTTGATCAACAGTTGGTTCATCAGATTCATCAAGAAATTGTTTATAATTATCTCAAGTTATTTTATATTTATCATGCAAATAAGCATCTAAATTAGAAGTATTATCTCCTTTGCATGTATATAGATAAGGTTTTTGCTATAAATTTTTTAAATTATTTTTATATATTTTACAATATACAATTTTCTTATTATTTAGATTAGTTCGAAAGAACTTAGTAGTATGGCTTTCATTTTTACGTTGTATAGTTTTAACTAATGAGGTTAAATTAGATTTCGATTTTCTTTTTTTTCAGTTATAATTAGAATATGATGTAGCATTTGAGGAAGTTTCAGTAGATGTTGAAGAAAAATTATATTTATCTAATTCAGAAGTCTCATTTGTATCTAAATAATCTTCTGAAACAGAAGAATACTATGAATTTATTCTTATATTATTTATGTCACTTTGGAATTCATCCATGTTTAAGAAAAATTACTGTTACCAGTATTATCACTATCATACGATTTAAATAAAAATTATAAAAATTATATTGTATTTCAAATAAAACAGGTTATAAATTTATTTTGGTAATAAATAAAACTGATTATATAATAAAACTGATTTTAAATAAATCTGATTTTAATTTAAATATAAATAAAACTGATTATAATTTAAATCGATTATATTAAAACCAGTTTTAAATAAATCTAGTTATAATTTAAATTCAGATATAAATAAAACTGATTATAAATAAAATCAATTATAAATATAACTGAATTTATAATTTTAAAATTTTAAAATTGGTTATATTAAAACCAATTATAACTAGTTATAAATTCAGTAGATTATAACTAGTTCCTAACACTAATTCAAAATTATCCATAATACATAATTATGTAATAATCAGGGAAAATACAACTCTTTCCGACGATTATTTGAACCAAACTTTCCAAAAAGCCGAACTACAAAAAATGATATAGTTAATATATTAAACTTTATGAAAACCTTTCTGGAGTACTGTACACGCATTGTTGGACATTGAAAT